AACATAAGAATAGTGCTGAATAATCTGATACCATGAGGTGATGCAATTTCGCGTTTGGGAACTTCATGTCATTGAAATTCTTATTCACAGAAAACTTTGTCAACCATTCATTTACAAATAAAATAATTAAAAAAAGATAGAACACAAACAAAGACAGAGAATGAAAAAAAGTTAAATTTAAATCAACTTTTGAATAATTAAATAACTCACAACGCAAGTTTAGTTCCAAAATCGTATTCCTTGCTTTTTTCTCTTATCTGGCACATTTCTTTCTTAACTTCAGGTAATTGAGAAATTTTATTCACAATATTTAATTAAATATAAAATTACAAAATATCAATGTCAAAACTCTATTCAGATCAGGGCTTCGGTCCGCACCTATTTTTCTATTCCGGAACAGGAATTGGACCTTGAGTGGGACCATGAACTTGTTCCGGAACAGGAAACGGACCTTGAGTGGGACCATGAACTTGTTCCGGAACAGAAAACGGACCTTAAACGGATCTCGGAACACGGACCGAAGCCCCGTTTCAGATGCTATAAATGTTTAACTTTTATATTTGAATTAAGATCTAATTGTTTCTTTTCACTTCTTGGAACTCTCTTCTTATCGAACAAAAGTGTCTTTAAATTATTGCACGGCATTTCAACAAACAAAGTCAAGGCAATCGTTACAGCGATTATGCAGATAAACTCGTTCGTGCTGAGCTGCAAATGTTTGAACAATAATTGAGTTGTTAGGTAAATATTAAGTTAAAAGGAAAAATCTTACAATAATGTTAAAGAAATTGTATTGAATGGGCGACCGCACTTTTCCGACATTGTAGAAGAACACTGGGAACTGAGTGAGATATAAACCATACGATAATTTGGTGCAAAATGAAAATCCTTTCCACTCTAGAACGCTGATAAATTTATCTAAAATATATTGAAAATTAATTAAATTAATTAATCATTCAATTCTTCTACAAACTTTTATGTCCAAGTTGAGAGACGAGAATCACCCATCCAAAAAACATGCACCAAGCAATAGGAGCCAAAGCGGCATAATGTGCAGCATGAGTAGCATTGAATTTGTAATCAATGTCACCCATTGGCGCTGGTCCAAAAAATGCAAGTAAAATTGACGCTATGCTCACATACCAACCAATTTTTAACTGCTGTTCTGATAGTTTGTAATCTTTGAACATTTGTAAAATGTATCCAAGGCTAATTCCCATAGCGTAGACAGTAAATCTATGTAATGGATTGATGTACATTATATCAGCCGTCTCAAACATTTGTTTAATGCTGGTAAACAATGAATAAGAGAGAAAAGAAACGAACATTTTATGACTTCAACTCAATGCATTATTAAACGTTTTACCTTGTGCCGTAGAAGACGTAGTTCGACAAGTCATATTTGAATGTGACATAATAACGCGCAATTGTTGATAAAGCTGCCAGTCCAAATAACATTTTCATTCCTTTTTTAGGCCACTTCCAAAGTGTCAGAATCAGGAAAGGTGATATCCAAAACAATTCCGTATCGATTCCAAGGTGATGCGTGTGCGTGAGACATAAGTTTGAGAATCCAAACCAATTATGAATGAAGAGAAGATTTCTCCACCAATAATTCTTGCAAATGTCTGAATGATGTGTCACGACAAGATTCCACTGTGGACCATCACCAAGCAGTGGTAAAATGAAAGTACAGAAAGCAATAAGAAAAGCTAAGGATGGCATAATTCGTAAGTATCGTCCCAAGTATTCCTTCAAAATATTTATTCGATGACCACGCTGAAGTTTGCCAATCAGTGAGTGTGCAGTTAACATTCCACTTAACATTAAAAAAGGATCAGTGTAAAGCGATGCAGCTGTAATGAAACATTAACTCGTTAATTAAATTATTTATTTCATGATTATCAAAACACCATCGCACCTCGTGCCAGAACTGTCCAAGGTTTGCCAAGCATTTCTGTCATGTCAGTTCTATTTGAATAAGGATTGAAAAACAACGCCATGCATTTGTGAGCCACGACAAGCATGATAGCGTTGAAAAATCTAATAGCATGAGCGACTTTAATTTCACCTGACTCATGTCTGATTGTTGTTAAACTTCTCATGTTTCTGATGAATGAAAATGACGTCAATAATTGGCCTAAGAAATCGAAATAAATTTTACTTTAGATGGAAAAAAAAATTTTAAGTGAGATGAAGTGAAATACTTTTGGACTCGATTGGCGAATTGTAGTCGTAGAAAGTTGATCCCAAAATAATAAGAAGAAGAATAATCATTGAAGAACTGAAAATAAGTTCAATTTGCAATTAAATCGTATGATAACAAAAAGTTTCTGCTTACATCGCAATGATTGTTGATTGAGTCAAATTCATAAACCATTTTCTATCTTTGACTTGACACATTGTCTTTTCAACTCTTATGTCAACATTGATTCCAGTTCCGCTTGTAAATCTTTTTATGTAATAAGTTAAAGCAACTTCAACATCTTGATGTGTACATGATGAGGGAACGCAAACTAATTGGACAAAATTGATTCAATAAATATCAGTTTTTAATTTAATTCATTCTACTTACTTCCCCAATTGATCGTTGAATACCGTGGAACTCGATGTCCAGGCTGAAATGTGTTAATCAAGAAACAATGTTAGATATTTGGATTCATCCTTGAAGGAAAATTAATTCACATGACACATTTATAATGCAAGTTGCACATGCAAGCACATGAATAAACTAATTTGGATAATGATGCATCGTGTGCCAGTTATTTAATTAGCAATGTGAAGTTTTAAAATGAATAGTCAAAAGTTAATTACGACATTCGTATGTATGATTAGACTTGCTTAGTTTATCATTATGTGGTTTCATTTCACTTTCAAGTGCGACAATATGACGAATGTTTATTTAGATACAAAAAGGTCGAAATTCAACTTACGTCATCAAAATTACTTTTAAAAGCTTCATGTGATTGCAGCAGTTTTCTCAGATAGTTTGTAAACTTTAGTGACTTCGATGCACTTGGTTGAAGATAGGCAAGACAATATTTTCCTTGAAAATCATTGTCCGATGCAATAACATTCAAACATTGATCGAAATCTCCAAACTGGTTCACGTTGCCGTTAAGGAGGCCGGAAGAAATTTTTGCAGTTGCATCGTGCACTTAAATTAATTTTTCAAAATATTCAATTCACTGTTGTTTGTGTCACTTCTGCTTACTCACTTTTCAAAGCCCACAATTCAAATTTCTTCAACGCTTCAATAAATTTGTGTGAATCTGCACGACATTCACTTGTAATGTTTGATATGTGAGATAAGTCAAATGGCCTCTCCAATTTCATATATTGCTTGCTTAAAACTTCAATGAATCCTAAAAACAGAAGCACGTATTCAAAATAAATCATTACATAAGTGAAAAGTTAAAATAAAATTAATGTTGTCATTAAAAATGAAGTCATGACAAGGCATTGTTATATATTTTAATTTCTTTTCTTCCAAATGCTTCTCATGCGGCCTAAAAGAAATTTTATTTTTTCCATTATGTCACTTGTGTTAAAAAAAAGTGCCAACAACAAGTGAACTTGACAATGAATACAAACAAAACGAAACTGTTTACATTTCAAAGCGTGGCAACTTTACATTCGCTTTTAAGAAAGAAGAAAAAAGCTTTAAGCATGTGATTGAATGTTATTTGAAATAAATTTTTAAAAATTGCTTCCAAAGTTTGTAACGATTATTAATTTGACAAGTTCGTTACAAGTATAACTTGTCTCAATCTTCCTATTTAAGAAACAATAGCTTCAATAGTAACTTGGATGCTAAACAAAACCTATTAAAACAGTTAATATTCAACTAAATAAATAAAAAAGAGTTATGATTGAATATAAATTATCTAATTAACTAATAAAGGGAATTACTGATCACCTTAAAGTAGTTTCAGAAGGAAAAATTATTTAAGTTCAACCTTTTCTGATGTGTTCATTATTAAATATAAAAAATTGAGTGAATGATCTTCAATAAAACCATAAAAGCTCGCGATGATACTTTTGCACTGCACTCAACACTGCAATGTAATGAAAATCGATTCACTTCATGACGTAACATCGAAACAATGTAAATTTTATGTGACATCAATATGCGTGTATGGTGAACAAAAATTCACATCGATATTTATTGAGCAATAATAGGTAAAACGTACAATAAATTGATAAATAAATCAAAAAACTTTGTATACTTATAAGCAAATTATTTCACGCAGAAGCTTTCAATTTTGTGGTAAATATTTAACTTTCTGAACACGTTAAATTTTTGCCCATCAATTACTTTTTATCGACGATTAGTTTTTATTACTCTTTCTAACTGAATAGAAAAACTCACTAAATTAAACTATTAATCATTATGAGAGAAAAATATTTAATCTGAAGGAAAATTTCATATCAAAAACTTTTCTTGTGCGTCAAAACTTTAACTCACAAAGCAGCAAAAAAATTCTTTTATAAATATTGAAGAATTTTCAATGTCAAAAGTCGAGTTGTGAATATTTATCAGCAAGTTTTTTTCATTGTTGCGAAAAACAAATTCAGATAACAATCAGCAATAAAGTTTTCCACTTCACCTTTCTCATAGTTTGATATGTTTGGAACTATGTAGTGTGGTAAATCCTCGAATTCAGAATCCTTAAGACTTTCTTCCAAATAATTCAATGTTACATTTTTATTATAATTATCACTTTTATTCCATTGTAAAATATCTGAAGAACAATTTGAACAGTTTATTTCATGTAGCACAAGGAACATTAAACAGAACTTTATGACCAAAGACATCTTCTGTCAACTTTAAATATTTTCTAACGTTCTTAAAGAAAATCACTAAAATATTTGGAAATCTTTTTGTCCATCGAATATTGTCTATTGGTCACTCCAACTACCGATTACAACCATTCAGTTCTATGTCTAGGATTGAACTGAATTGTATTTCATGCAGTCATTATTAAAACACTAGACCTGGAGAAAATTTTACTAGTGAATTGCGCGACGAACTCACAGTGCATTTTAATGATTCTTCGCAAAACTTAATCGTAAGTTTTAGATGCCCCACCAGTTCCAACACTTCCCTAGTTTGTTGCTCTTTGCATTGTTGTCGTTGTCGTATGTGCATATAAACATGTAGACAAATGAATTACTATTGTTTTATATTCTTAGAATTTATTTTGTGTATTAAGTAAACACACAATGACAGCCATAAATGTAGTTTTGACAATGCAATGAATGCACTCTAACGTTCATTGAGAATGTTAGACCAAACTGTAATCGAGAAATAATAATGAAATCACTGACATCTGACTACACAAAAGACATCAATGCCATCAAAAGCGATGAACTGGCTGGAAACATTCGATATAAATAAATCACAACAAGTTCAACGACTATTTCCTTGGCCTCAAGCTGAATATTTATTTTTAATCGATATAATGAAATAAAATATGTTAATTTGATTTTGACACTCTCATTTGATTTTATTCTTTTGTAATTCATCGTAATTTCTTTTTACAATTCTATCCCTGAATAATGACTTCCTTAAATTCTTAACAGGAATCTCAACACAAAGCGTCAGAAGAAAAGTTCCAAGTAAAATAAAAACTAACTCGTCACAATCAATCTGAAAATAATTAATTAGTTTCATGTATTAATTATGTAAGGGTGTCACTTACACCGGTTTGAATTAGATTGTAAAATGTTGAACCTCGAGCACTTCCAGTATTGTAACTAAAGACAACGAATTGGACAAGGTAGAAACTATACGACAGCTTAGTTGTTACTTTGAATCCTTTCCATTCAAGGAAGTTTGTTAGAAAATCTAAATAAAAAATATTTATTATTAATATTTTCTATTAAGATTAAAAAACTTACTGGAATATTTCATCTCACTGGTGAAAATGATTAAAATGAAAAAGAAACAAAATGGAATCGGCAGAAATGTCATAGCAGAAGCATGAAGTGGATTGTATTGGTAATCCTGAGCTGTTAATTTGGAAGCAAGTGTAAGACTCAAAAACATTGCTGATAAAGTTAAAGTCCAAAGTGAATATAATTGTGTTAATGAAATTTTTACATCTCGAGCTCGTTTTATCACACAACCAGCAAGAATTCCCATTGCGTATGATGTGAAACGAAATTGTGGTAAAATGTACATTAAATCTGCTGTTTCAAATAATTGTCTAGAACTTTAATTAAGATGAATAAATACTTTAAATATCTTAATTAATATTTCATTGCAACTCACGTTAATCCATGTATAATGAACTCGGAAAGATTATTTTGGTAAGCGACAAGACATTTAGCAACACTTGAAACGATGGCAGTTGCTATTAAAAACTTTATTCCTTTCTTCGGCAATTTATAAATAAAAGCGACGAAAAATGGCGCAACAAGAAACAATTCAAAATCGATTGAAACATGCTGGGTATGGAAGCCACACATCGGTCTAACACCAAACCAAATGTTGATGAAGAGTAAATTTCTCCACCAATATTTACTGCACAGTTCCGCTTCTCTTTCCGTTAATATTTTATATAATGGACCTGATCCAATGTATGGCATGATGTGTGAAGTAAAGAGAATCAAAGCAAGCACTGAAGGCATGATCCTCAAGTATCTGTCGAAATATTCTTTCAGAAAATTAATTTTCTTTCTTTCTTCTAATCGCCGAAGCAGAGAATAAGCCGCCAAAAATCCACTTATCATGAGAAAAAGCTCAGTATATAGAAACCCTGCTCTAATAAGAACAGTTGATCCTTTAAAAGTTTCTGCTATCAAGTTCGTTCGATTTGCCATTGGATAGAAGTAAATGAAGAAGCTTTTGTGGGAGATGAAAATCATTAAAACAGCAACGAAACGAATGCCGTGTACCGATCGTACATCATTCTCGTCATATTCATCAACAGTCATTAATTCTTTCCAATTTCTGACCAAAGAGAACGAAGACGTAATAGTCCCATCTAAAATGTAGGATGAAAAAATCTTAGATTATTAAATACATAACAATATCTAACAAGTAAGAATTTTTTTCACACGTGAGTTCATTTTTCAAGATTACAAAATAAATAACTAAAATGAATACATTTTAAATAATATCAAATAGAAGCTCAACTAATATTTGTTTAGAGACATAAATGTAAATTTATAATACTTGTGTCTTCAGGATTCAGCGCCATGAAGTCATAGAGTGTCGTGACAATAATAATAACAACAAGGGCTGCAACAAAAAATCTGAAAGAAATAAATTTAATACAGACAACGCTCGATACAAGCAATTATTATCTAACAAGAAATTGATTAATCAATTGTTTACGATGAAAAAGAAGTTCATTTGAAATATTTTATCTTTCACTTTGATTTTCATTATCGAGTATTTCCTGTATTTAAGAACTATTGAAGATGAACAAAAGATGATTAACTCACAGAACGACATTGGTACTTGTTGAAAGCGTCATTGTATTCATTTGTGATTGGCAAAGATTATTTTCACTCTTTACTTCTGCTTGGATGTCGGTTCCATTTAAAAACTTATTAAACTGGCCTTGAACAACTTGAATAAACTCTGTGTAACTGCATGTTGACGGAAGACACGATGACCAAAGAAATGACGAAAATATCGGAATGTAATGGTACAGCTGGAAATCAATTTTGTTTTCATTCATTTAATTTTTGGATTATGTGATTATAATTTGTTTAGGAAAGCAAACATTCCATTAACTAACATCATCAAGCCCTTTTGTGAAATTGCTTTGGAACGTTTCAAGTGAATGTGAAAGCTCTTTCAATCGTCTCACGTGTAACATATCTTGCGGTACATTGATTTTAATATATGCGAGACAGTATTGGCCTCTTATCCCATTGATAGATTGTTGAACATGCAAACATTCATCGAAATCACCAAAATTGTTGATATTCCCACTTAGCAGTCCGGATGAGATTTTGGCAGACGAATCGTACACTAATATTGAATATTATCATAAAGTTCACGCATTAAACACCTTATGGTTTTCTAAGCGTTGCTGAAAACTTACTTTCAAGAGCCCATAACTCAAAGTTCATAAGATTCTTGAGATATTCTTGAAAATCAATCTTGCACTGTTGTGTGATGTTTGTGTTGTCGAGAATCTCATTGTATTCTCCGAAATCCAAAAGGAATTTTCTTAGCTCAATTAATTTTTCTTAAACACAGAAGATATTTAAATATATTAGAATTACAATTTAAAGCTAAAATTACACTTAGGAACCTCTTTCAAAAGTCTTTAAAAGTGAAGAGCTTTGGAAGGTATTTTTATTTTTTTCATTCTCGTGACGACTGACGTTTAATGCATCATTCTCAAAACAAGATGACACAACGAGAAAGCTCAAAAATAATAATAAAACTTTCATTATGATTCAAGTGAAATCTATGAATCTATCACTTTTACTAAAGCAAAACTTTTACTTTTCAATCTTCTTCAGCGCTATAATTTTCGAACCGTTTTCTTTGGATATTTTAACACAACTGAATTGATCATTTCATCGTCATCTTCGCATACCCAAATAATTTTTGTATACACATTTTTTTTGGCTAATAACTTGAACGAGCCTTTGACAGCCGGTCTTCCTATTCTCATTTTTTCTTTCATATTTTGCATATTTTATATATTTTTATAAACGATTATTGTTGTAATCGAATGTTACATTACAGACGTAATAGAAATTGACATATTTTAACTTACGTTGACCGTGAAACCAGAACATTTTTTTCCAAGTAACCTGTCAACAAATCAGATTTATTAAAATATTTGAAATATCGTCCGATATTGAATTTATATCTTGAGACATTTTTCAAATTGTTTTTTAAATTATTCTTCAAATTCCAAATAATAATTTTTTTATCACAAACTTTAGTGTAAATTAAAGCAGCACAATCAAAGTACTTACCACAGAAAAGCTTTGTAGTTTTTAAAAATGCTGAAATTGTATTAATAATGAAGGATGCAGAAACCATGTTTTATGTTAAATACAATGTTGTAGTAATTTACTACACAAGATACAAACCTTATGAAAGCCCTACAAATGCTTTTCATCTCAAACACAACATTTGTAATGCTTTTCTTCGTTATGTTGAGTGAAAGTTTCACAGAAAATTTTTAAAGATTAATTTGGCAGTATTGATCTTTATGTTAGTTATGAAATCTTTAATGTGTTTCATACGTGATCATAGCAAAACTCATGATATTATATATCATATATCATAACTCATATGATAAATGAAATACATAGAAATTGTATGAACCTGAGTATAATTTATGAAATAAGAATTAGAGAATTCAAAGACTATCGGGATCTTCATAATCAATAGAATAATTATTTATATGCTTCATAATCTTGAGGAGTTAATTTCATTAAACCAAGCAATTTAATAATCATCTCATTTCAGTTTTTATTCGCACTTTCCTTTCATTTCAAGTTTAATGCTTGTATCTTAATTTTTGGTTCACTTGCCTCGTTTTCCTTCATTCGATATTAAAATTGAGATAAATTATATTTCAAATACTAGATTTTTAGTAACTCTTTAATCAATTATTATTATAAATAAATTAAATATTAGTTTTTTAATTCAATCAGAGCCACACATTTATTTAAATTTACTGTAAAATAACATAAAGCGAAATTTTATTTCACATTAACATTTATTTAACGACTTTTAAAACTGCAAATACGCAAGTTATTCATAGAACTAATTATGCATTTATTATCTCTTTAATTTTAATGACAGACTTAATTACAATTCATAAATAAATACAGAACTCAAAACATGGAATGACAAGCTGCACATCAAGTTTATTTTTTAATTATCTAAACATAATGTCCTTGATTTTTGTTCTTACTCCGTAAATGACAAAAAATGGAGCATACGAGATAAATGGAAGAATAAGACAGAACGTAGTAAATAGACTCGATGGGATAGTTGCAATCATTTTTGAAAAACTGAAACATAAAAGAATTAAATTTATTAAGAAACAATCAATAGAATCAGAAATACAAACCAATTGAGCTGAATGGAGAATAATTGCAATGATTTCTGTTGCCTTAGCGCCAAAGAAAAAATTTGTATTTTGAAATTATGAAAATATGTAATGAAATTAAAACTCACAGCTAAAACTGTACAAAGTTGACGAAGCCAAGGGAAACTTTTCTTTATCTCAGGCATTAGACTTGTTACAATCAAATATGAATAAAGGATGATGTGGGAAAAGGAATTTGCAAATCCAAAAAATGTCGCATGTCCACCTAAATTATAAAAATTTCAATTTAATTATTTGATCAGCTTACAACATTTCTTTTGAATCACCTGGAAAAAATTTTATATGCCCCCAGACCATACTGAAAAGTTAAAAGATTTTAAAATATGTTCAACGTTAAGCGTATCTTTCATGCTTCGTTAACTTTTTTAATTACTTCTTAACTCACTTTAGCATTAAGAAATGGTGCACAACGTGATAAAACGTCACAAGGTCGAATCTTTTTCCCAACAACAAAATAACAGTTTCGATCAAATCTATTATTTTCTGCATTAGAAAGTACCAGCAAGAGTTTAACATCTGTTTTAAAAGCAAATATAAAACATCCTTCACACATATTAATCACACTGTAATTAATCTTACTGTGAGTGGGTCACCAAATGGAGATCGGTCAAATGGTTCGCATCTACATAACATTAATTGAGTTTCAATTTTACTTTTTCTTTGATTATTTACCTCCAGTTATAGGTCGTTAACCATCCAGATGATGCAAGGTAATAAAAAATTCCAACATTTGCACACATGTGCCACACATTAAAAACTAGAAGAATATTTTTTATATCGAAAGCTTTCCTATTTTTCATATACTTTGGTAAAACGATCTAAAAACAGAACTTTTCTAAGAATATTCCTAAAACATACGAGGTAAAAATTCTCACTTTCACTATGAACAAATATCCCAACGAGATTCCAAGAATTGGAAAAGGAGATTGCATTAAAAAATATTTTGATATTCTTGGATCTGATTTATGCTCCAAAAAATCTTCCCATTTATTGAATAAATTTTTCACAGTTTCCATTGTTTGGTCTGTTTGTTTATTTACGACTACTTCGTTCAAAAGCTCAAAGGTAACTGATCAGTTAGAAATATATGATGTGATTGAAAAATCATCGAAAATATAATTGTAAAAATACAAGCGAAGTGGTTG